GGCATTTGCCAATAAAAAAAATAAATTTGATTTACTGTTTGGCCAATTGGCGAATGTCGTGGGGAAATTCGCCAATTGGCGAATTACTAGTTGATATTCGCCAATTGGCAAAAAATACAATTGGCGAAAACAGGAATTGGCATTAAGATATTTCCCCGTAGAAGATGTTTGGTACAAGAGGATAAAATATACGTCATTTACATCAGAACAAAACAAACTTCAAAAAACAACCACACACACAACAGCAACGCACTGCGAGAACAGACGAATACTCTCACAAACAAAAATCAAAACCCAAACCACACAATCCATCTTACAAGGTAAACCAGATTTTACATGTGCAAATGTTTCAAAAAATTTTAATTCGAATGTAATGCTCTTCGCCGAATGGTAAATCGCCGAAAAGTGAGATCGCCGAAACTCGCGCCGAAACTAACATTATCGCAAAGAAAGATCGCCGAAATACATATTATCGAAATAATGATCGTCGATGTGAAGATCATCGAAATAAAGATCGCCGAATTTTTTCGATCGTTTAGTACGAACAATATTGATTTCAACGATCTAATTTTCGACGATCATTCCTTGCGTTTGCTTTTTAAATATATATCATATACTTAAAATAGTGTCCATTCAAATATAATATATACATCATGAATTGATACCAACAGGAGAAAGTGTTACTACCTCAGTTAATATCGAACCAGAGAGTTATAATCTGTTGTCGTCTTTATATATATTATAGTTCATAAGTTTTTTTGTGCGTAACGTTTTAATGATGTGAACGGTTTAATGGTATGGAAAAATGAAATGAAACAATAAGACACCGTAATATTTTACATCTGGTCGTCTTATCGTTGATGTGGGCTTATAATTTTGAAACTGTTTTATTGAGTTGTAACATGTATCTGTAAAAATAGACGATGGATGTTCTTTTTACTCGATTACCTGGTGATTAACTCATGTTATCAAAGTACTATTTAGTTCTTTATTTTTCTGTTTCAAATATGAGATACAAAAACATCAATGAGTACGTTCAAGAAAGAAGGTTTCATTTTTTAACAATTTTGACACACAACAGGCTAAGATACTATTCAACGAGAAAAGTATAAGGAAAAATACTAACATAACAAGGGAAAAAATGAATAGGAAGAACATTTAGCTTTTATAAAAAAAAAGTAAATACAATCTTATACACTCTTTTTTTGACCACGTCGTCTTTCTCGTCTATTCAATGGAGACATAATTTTATATGCAGCAGCTTCATTATTCCATATCGATAAGTTTTCCAATGTTCTATTTGACTTTTTATTTTGCTGTGGTGGTGACCGAATAATCAAATGAGAATTGGATCTTTTTCGTGTAGTTTCAATTGACGTAATCGTTGAACTTGCAGATAATGTTGATTTTGATGCATCATGATTGGTATTATCGTTGATGCTCTGACTACTTCTGTCATCTTCGTTATTCTCATCATTGTCGTCATCATGATCATTACTAATATACCTATAAAGTTAATTGAAAGTAAACGAAAAAAGTCCATAGGTATTAATTATCTTATGTTGTTTAAAAATATAGTGAGTACGTCTGACGAAAAGAATTGAGTAACTTACTCATCATGACTAACGTTAAAATTTGAATCTTCTCTTGGACAATAGTCAGAACTAGTATCATTTGTACTATTTAAATTACTATTAATTGACAAGTTCTGATTTAACCATTTTAATACGAAAGATAATCGATCACGACCCACATCAAATCGCTTTGACATTTCTCGGTGATAACTTGCAGCTTCTAATGAACAACCAGTATCTTTTAAAGTTTTTAAAAAGTCATTTAATATATGACAAAATTCTTGTTCACATGTCAACACTTCAAACACACCTGAAATTGAATAATAAAAAAACGTTGGAGAATATATCATCACAAACTAGATTAAATTCTAAATATTAACAACCTACCGGATTTTTTCGATTTTTTATTTTCGATTGATTGGATCATTACTTTGAGTACTAATTTCTTTTCTTTATTTCGTTCAACAAAATAATTACGAGTACCACCATCATTGATCTTTTTGTAATAAACTTTTTCCCCAATGGAGCAGTTAACTGTATTAACCCATTGTTTAATTACACCATCAAGAGTTTTTGGAAGAGTTGGATATGTTCGTCCTTTATAAAACTTTATCGCTTCTAAAGCATCCTTACATAATAAATCTACAAAAATAAGAAAAACAAAATATAACAATGATGAAAAGATCAGCTTAGAATTATGAGATGACTTACCAAATGATGTATGTTTTTTATTGATAAATTTAACTTGATAGACCATAGCTCAAATACTAATATTTATTTTTCAAAATAGAATAAAGTAAATGTTAATTAAATGTACAGGTGAAAACAAATCTAAAATAATAGACAAAAATATGCTATTTTGGAAAAATATATTTAGCAAGATTATTCCATCTAACTCAAGCTAGTTCCTAACTTGATTTGGTTCATAAATGATATTTGACTAACTGAAAATAAAAAACTAGAGTCAAAATGTAAATATAATTTATTTATATACAACCAACAATCGAAAAATAAATTTCACAACACAAGCGGATATCTATATCTCGAAATAAAAAACCTACTAATTTTCATACAAATACTTAGATGACGTTTCACATCAAATTATTAACTTTATCGAATGTCTAATCTTTTTTCTTTTGTTTGGACTTGGTATTGTTTGCTACCATGGATCCCAAACCACTCAACATTGTTGGTAAATCAATAACTTTTCTACCATATAAATCATATAAATTATCCAATTGCTTTTGGTATCGCTTTTGTTCTTTTGTAGCTCGTGATGGCCGTTTTCTACCCGTTATAACTTGATTAACATATTGATGTGTATGAAATTCTTCTGATACCAACATATCTAAAACTTTCCAAACATTTGGATGAGCTTCAACTAATTTATGACTGATGCGATTATTCATCCCTAAAATACAAAACAAACTTTATTTACACCATACGTCGCTGTGATCACGGTTTAGATCATGTCTCAGTTAGAAACTTCGTTACTAAGGAACTATATTTGAGCAATATTTTAAAAACTTTGATTTTTTAAAATTGTTTAATTTATTGATACACTTGGTTGAAAGTTATAAGTATACGTACCCTCACAATTATTATTGGTGCGATAGTCAAGATTATAAACACAATACATATCTTTACCAATTACTCTCAGCCATTCTCGATCGTAATAATTCATCAGATCATTCATTAAATTAAAAACATGTGTATCAGAAAATGTTTCTAATGTCAACTGGTTTAAAACTTCTAGATAACCATCTTCAACATCATCGATTGGCAACAAAGCAACTGCCATCAATTTGCGACATAGATCACGCACACTCTCAACATTTTCGTATGTTGCTTTTAATCCAAGAGTTGCGATCATTCGATATATACTTTGTGTGTGATGGAAAAAACATCCAACATGATGTGTAGTAGTTGGAAACTAAAAATGAAATACAGAACAAAGTTTACCCTGTCACACAACATATACTGAATAAAACCAAGAACTTACTTCAGCACTGATAGCCTTAATCAAGCCCGCCTCAAAATCGGTCATAACATAATTTGGATTCAAAACACCTCCACGTTTAACAGCTTCTTCTTTTAACGAACGAATTATAGAACGATAAGCATCAGTATGCTTCGAATCAACCAACGCATAGCAAAGCGTAACAACTACAACAGATTAAAAAAAGGAGATAATTAAGTCTAAGAAACTTCTAAACACCCATAACAATAGCTCACCTTGGCCTTCAAAAATTCCAACGATACAAACTAATTGTGCAAATAAAGCAGGTACTATTTTAAAAGTACCATCAATAAATAACCAATCACATTGAAAAAGAATATCCAACTGACGATCACTTGCAAACACCAACAAACGCTTAAATCGTTTTTGATTCGATAAATCCGCCAACAAGAATCGTTGACCATCAATATTAACTGTATATCGAACTGGCACAATAAAATCCAAATCGGATGGGATTGAAGGCAGCAATGATAAACGTAAACGACTGAAACATGGTTCTAAAAG